TCAATTAGCATTTTTATTTAAAATTATCTCAGCTACATTTTTTATTTAAAACATTTTTTTTACAGCTTACAGATTTTTGGAAAATCGATTTTTTTAGAGGGAAGTTCGGTGGTTAAAGTGGTATACTTTTTTACACTTGTTGTCCCAAAATTCATATTCTCTGCAAAATTCAGCTTGTTTGTATGATTTTTAGGGGTCAAATCTGTAACGACTGAACTAATTGGTCCTTTACCATTCTTGGTTGCGTATTAGATGATCTTCTAGTACGCATTATATTATTTTTGTGTTAGGTATGTCTTTCATGTACTTTTCATTTATTATTTAGCTTCTTATATTAAAATGATTTGAATTTACACTAGAAGTATACATTAAAAACTTTTTATTATATGTATTATTTTTTTTTAAATACATATTGAAATATAAAATTTGTAATATTGTTACTGTCAAATGTATATTCAGTTGACAATATAGCATTTACATGAAATAACTAAATATTACACTAAATATCACCATACATAAATAACCATCACCATAAATTGAATAAACCAATAACGAAGGAAATAAAGGCAGATTTATGAATCTATAATGAAAACAAGGTAGAAGAATTAATAGAAAAGAACAGAGGCCTGCAATGCTTATGATCAAACTTGGGAAAGTCTATAATAATCTCATTGAAGGATAAGGATGGAAAAGAAATATAAGAAAAGAAGGAAATCCTAAAAGTAACTTAAACGTTTTACCGTGATTTATATTCCTCAAACAAGAACCCAGATAGCCCTGCAAGGGAAGATCTTAAGATAAAGATAACGAATGTCAACTCAGAAATACTCCCTAACATGAAATCCTTCGAATTTAAACAAGCTATGGCACAACTAAAGAACAATAAGGAATTGGGTCCAGATGGAATACTTGTAGAAATGTTAAAGGCGGAGAATGAAATTATCCTCGAAGAATTGAAAAATTTTTTTAACGAATGTCTTCACAGAGAGAAGTCCCAGATGATTGAAATGAAAGTTTGACAATACTTCTCTTCAAAAAGGGAGACAGGGAAAATCTGAAGAACTATAGGTCAATCTCCCTGATGTCCCAAATTCACAAACTGTTTATGAGAGTAATAACCAACAGGTTAACGTCGAAGCTCGATAGCTATTAACCGGTAAAGCTGGCAGGATTCCGAAAGGGTTACAGTACAGTGGATCATATACAGTTAGAACTCTATTAGAGAAAGACAATGGGCAAATCTACCTGGGACAGATAATGAAAGTTAACAAATTACCAGAAGAATATGATTAGCGTGGGCAGGATTTGGAAAACTGAGTTGGATCTTGAAAAGCACTAAAATAGAACAATATTTGAAAGCCAGAATATACGATCAGTGTATTCTTCCTTTACTCACGTATAGCTCACAGACGTGGACACTCACGAAGTCTAACATGGATTATATAGTAAAAGCACAGAGAGCGATTAAAAGATCAAGGCTCGTGGTGAGACCTGTGAGACCAAAAAACAAACAAATGGATTAGAAGCAAAACAAAAGTAAAAGACGCAGGAGAGCATGATGTCAAATTAAAATAGAGCTTCGCAGGACACAACGCCTGACTGAAGGATAAGCGATGGAACCACATAATACAACAATGAAGACCACGGTTAGGAAAGAGAAGCAGAGAAAAACCACAATTGAGATGGTCGAATGATATTCAGAAGATCGGAGGATACAACTGGAAGCAAGTGGTGCAAAATAGAAGATACTTTGAGTTGAAGACTGTAACGATAATATTTTGCCTACCATAGGGTAAGATTATACGGGGTCGAAGATTTGGGGATAGAAATTACTGGGGGGCGAAGATAGGGCAAGCAAAAAATAATCGAAACTTATGCGCACGGCACTCAAGGTTTGTTAGAAGAGCCATGGGGTCATGAATCTCTTGGGACAAATAAAAACAAAACGAAACAGGAAACACCACTAGTAATTTAAAAAGGACGCCACTTTGAGGTGCCTAATTAAAACGAAATAATTATTAAATATAAAAAAAATATTTCTTTTTATATTAAACTCAAAAAAGGATTAAAGAGGGAAATAAACAAAATGGTAAGAAAGCAAATTAAACATTTATTGTGTCTCACTACAATCACTTAAAAAAATAGACAATGTAAAAATATATCAATAGTCGCAAAATACAAAAATAAAAAAAATTACATGTGTCATTACAAAGTTACTCTTCTTAAGACCCGTTTTCACGCTACGTCTTATTGTACGTTTTGTTGGCAAATCCTATACAATAAAACGTGGCGTGTAAACAGCAAAACGTACGTCTTGTCGAATCGAAATGAAATCCAAATACGTTGTGTGTATACACTGGACAAAACGTACGTTTTGTCGTACGTTTTATATGACCGACAAAACGTACAATAAGACGTAGCGTGAAAACGGGCCTTTACGTCTCCAACATAATTTTCTTGTTTTTAAAACAGGCCTCAACTATGTCACAAAGCGACCTTGAAACAAACTCATTTTTAAATTTGTGGAAAAAACACGTATTATATTGATTATTTAAACGTCCTAGTTATAACCGGAATTTTGAAATCTCCTAGCTCACAATGTATACAGAGAATTGGGGGATTTGAATGTAAATAAAGACAAAAATATTTATATAAAGCTTAGGGGTGAACTACAAAATTTTAAACATAAATATGTCATGGTTAAAAAATTTAAAACGCTACAAGACATAGATTGATTTGGGAGAGGTCTATGTCCAAAGTTGGATTACTTAAGGCTCAAGAAGAAGAAGAAGAAGAAGAATCACTATACATAATATTTGTTTTTAATTTTGATTTTGAGAATATTAACAATATTAACAGCTGATACACTAAGTTATATTCTTTTTACTATATCCAGTATATTTTGCCTATTAACATAAGCATCATCAGCGAAAGCTATAATAATGGTCATTAGGTATTTCTTACATATGATGAATTAGTTTTTTTATTTTCTGAGTGAGAATGTTTGTCACGATGTTTGATTGGAAAGCACTTGGATATAACAATAAATGAAAACTAAAATGAAGACACAGAATTTACACATATTTGACGTATACAATTTAAATTAAAGTGTATATTGTTATACTAAATAAATATTTTTTAGTATAACAATATTCTGATAGATTTATGAATTGAAGTAAGGTTAGATATTCATTTGATGTACAATTTTGTTTTGTTAATATATAAATAGCCAGTTAGTACAATTTTTTTGGTCCTTATCATATTGAGTTAAACAGTTTAAGTAGTTCATCGGCAATCAACAGTATTACTAAATTAAGCGACAAAATAAAGATTAAAGAAAGATTAAAGCAAAAATCTGAATTTTATTTCGAAAATTAGTTTACGGATTTAAATAGCGGATGACTATGAATTGCCGTTCTGACGAGACCTATTAGGCCGAAATACGTATAAGCGGCTACATAGATGCACTATAAGTGAAATTAAATATTAACTGTCTTTTCTTTTTTAAAAAACAAGTATTTTAAATTGTAAGGGGAAATGCAAATCCTGGACAGAATTTGAGTAGCAAATAGAGAGGGGAAAAGAGCAATAGATAAGTGGTTTTTGAAAGGCAACAAAGCAGTATAATCATTAAACTAACAAAGTTAAATAATCATTAAATAATCATTATAGGCAAACAACTAATGAAACAATAGAAAGACCAACAGTATCGTATTCATACAATACTGTTGGTCTTACTGAACAAAAACTATATGCTATATAACATGATGTATACGGGAAAGGATACAAAGTTTAACGAACAATATAAAGATCTTCCAGTATCAACACGTATTGTTATGACGCTAATGAAACCTCTACTGTCAAAAGGTTACTGTTTAAGTACAGACAACTTTTATACATCCCCTGAACTAACTGACTTTTCATTAGCAGTTTGCACAGATACGTACAGTACTATAAAAATGCAAAGAAAGGGTCTACACCAGAAATGAAAAACAAACTTAAGAAAAATGAACTTATCGCGTTTCAAAAGGCAAGGCAATAGTAATGAAGTGGAAGGATAAACGGGAGGTTTGTGTGCTGTCAACGCTGCATAATGCCAAAATGATCACTGAACAACGAAACGAGATAAAAAAACCTAGGCTTGTTCAAGACTACAACACTATAAGTAGCGTCGACAGAGTCGATTAACATCTTGTTGATTAGACGGTAACTAGGAAGCGTAGGAAAAAGTATTAGATAAAATATTTTCCTACCTTCTCGAATATGCTGAGTGGAATGCTTTTGTGCTCTATAAAAAAAGCGAAGGGCTAGGAACGCATCTGGACTTTTGAATGGGTTTGATAACGCAACTGGTTAAGGTTTGCTACAAACTTTCAACTCTTCCAATCCCGCTAGACTTACGGATGACATTAACCACACGATGTCCCTGTCATCGGAAAAAAAGCTCGTCCAACTAGTGCGTGTTGTGTACGGTAAGACAAAGGATGTATCTGAAAAGAATTTCAGGCGCGAATCAAAGTACTACTTTCATGATTGCGATGTAGGACTTTGTGTAACGCCCTGCTTCAAGACATTTTATACGGTAGCTAACTTTTAGTTTCTCCTGTTTTTGTTTATTATTATAATAAATAAATACATATGTTCTTTACGCTACAATGCAACTGTAAGCTCTTCTAAATATCCAACTTTTGATCATCATCCACAGCGTGTATAAAAACTTGTGTTGTCTAGTTTACTGGAATTGGCTTTTGGATAAAAAACGAACATACAATGCTCTAGGCAAGGTAGACAATAAAATCCTATGCTCGTAGGTTTTATTTAAGCATCAACAACCCGTTAACAAGATATATCTATTATACATATTTTAAACCACTAAAACAATAAACAAACAAAGCAAAAATCAACATTGTATAACATGTTTGCCGAAAAAGTTACCATAAACGTAAGTTAGCTCTACATGTCATTAACTGGTCCACTATATTAAAATGAGAAAAACTTACGTGGTACTATCCAAGGCGCTTCATATAATATTCTTCGTATAGTATTTTTAATCCGAAAACTAGGAAACAATTTTATGTGATAAGGTGATATTTTGTAGAATACAATATTTCTAAGATAAAAAAGGTTTCCAAATTGTGGATGATCACCGGTCATTTTCTAGAAGCAACTCTTGACTTTTGTATGTCGCTGTTTGACAATTTTCCCAAAAAACAATTTTGTATGCTGCATGTTTAGATTACCGTTGTTAAGCTACCAATATGACACGGAATGTTTATATTTAATTATTAAATATACTGTATGGTACAAATGAAAGAAATAAATTAGTTATTTCGTAAACCAGCGGCTTTAAGGAAACATTCTGAAATCCGTCGATTCTTATTTTAAGTCTATTCGTAAGGATACCTTTTTATGTTTGAAGTCATCTATGCAAGCGTGATGCATTTCTAAAAATTTTAAATGGAAATGTAAGTGCTGGAATACATTATTTCAAAGGTGTCTTAAATATCTATTTAGCCATATCAATATTTTATTATAATAGTATTTACTTCAAAAATTAATTAATAAATTTTTATTATTACAAAAAATACTTAGTATGTATTACTTAATAAATACAATAAAACTTAACTTAGAGTGGGTGATCAAATTACCATGATCACTTCAAAAAACGTTGTATTTTGCTGTTTAATAAACAACTAAAAACTGCATATAAGCGTCTAATGATGTGAATATAATACAAAAATAGATCATAAACACGTCCTTTTACATAATTTTAAAATAGTTTTTTCTTTGGCCTTAAATACCAATTTTTTTAAATATTTTTGAGACCTCCTTTAGTTTCGATGACAGCTTTGATCCTCCTTGGCATGCTTTGAATGTTTCTCAGGGAGTCTTGTTTTATTTTATCGTTTCTGTGCAGGTGGCAATAAGTCTCTCAATTAACTGCTGCTTATTTGTGAGAGTTTCCTGGGCAATCTCCCTCTTCATAAGCTCCCATAGATTTTCGAACGGATTGAGGTCTGGGGAATTACCTGGCCACTTCAGTACTTAAGTTTTCTTTTTATCCAGGTACGATGTTACTGTTTTTGCCTTATGGCACGGTGCTGAATCGTGCATAAAAGTAAAATCTCCGATTCGCTAAACCAGTCTTTGATTTGTGATGCCTCACTCACGCCTCAGTAAGCTGCCTTACTATGCTGATGGTTCGCCTGCAGGATTCTGATTAAAACGCTTTAAAATTAGCAGCCGTCAATGCTTTATAGAAGACCTTTTGCATGTATACATGCAAATACTGTAAGAGAAGGGCAATGCTACTTCGTTCTAAAAATAAATATTTGTTCTATATCCCAATATTTAGTTCCCAACAAAATAAATACTTTTAATTATCAATTAGTTCTGTTAGAGTGAGTATATTTTATTTTGTGTTTACTGCTTAAACCTTATTTTTCTTCTTCTTCTTCCCGTAGCACTACAACCCGGGGTGGGTCTTGGCTGACTGAACAACTTGCTTCCATCTTGAACGGTCGTCCATAATAGTTGGGTCAGTGGGTAGCCCCATTGTTCTTAGATCTGACCATAATATGGTCTCTCCATCGCATTAGTACGTCCTAAGGGCTTTCTTCATGTGAGGGCTTCTATGGAAGTCTATGAACATGTCCAGCCCATCTTAGACGTTAGAATTTAATCTCTTGGACTATGTCGCTCGCTCCATACATCTGCTTGACCTTAGCATTTGTTCTTATTCGGTATTGGTTGCTATTAATATCGTGATAAGGCCCAAAGATTCTTCTGAGAATTTTCTTCTCAAAACATCTAAGTTTTCAGTTTCTTTGGTCAGAGTCCATACCCATACATGAACATCGGTCTAATCACCGTTTTATATACTCTAATCTTTGATGTTCGTATTAGGCTTTTAGATTTATTAAGTATTATGGAATATATAAAGGAACAAAATCAATACAAATAAATAGAGGCGTAAGACAGAATGATACAATATCACCAAAACTTTTCAATCAGGCTCTTGTAGATACTTTTAAAAGATTAGAATGGGAAAAAAAGGTATAAAAATTTGTGGACAACTCTTGAACCATCTAAGGTACGCTGATGATATCGTATTGATAACTGATAAAAAAGAAGAATTATTTGAATTAATGAAAGAACTATACGTAGAAGCTGGAAAGATAGGCCTTAATATGAATAACAGCAATACCAAAACCATAACAAATACAGATGAAGACATCACAATGAGAATCGGACAAGATGAAATAGAACAAGTTCAGGATTATATAAATCTTGGTCAAACTATAAAACTTAACAAAGAGAACCAAACAGCAGAGATAAAGAGACGAGTTAGACTGGCATGGGCGGCATTTGGCAAACTAAGCTACATTCTTAAAAACACAAAAGATATCCACAGCATCATAAGACCAAAGTATACAATCAATGCGTACTCCCTGTTCTTACTTATGGTTCCCAAACGTGGACATTTACAAAAGCAAACATGAACAAAATCATAAAAACCCAAAGAGCAATGGAAAGACAAATGTTGCACATAAGACTAATGGATAAAAAGAGAAACGAGTGGATAAGAGAGAAAACAAAAGTGAGGGATGTTAGACAAGAAGTTGCAAAATTGAAATGGAGATTTGCCGGACACAATATAAGACAAAAAGAAGACCGATGGAACAAAATTCTTATAAGTTGGAGACCGTGGGAATATAAACGAAGCAGAGGAAGGCCCCAAATGAGATGGGCAGATGATATCAAGAAGCACGTGGGCTCTAGGTGGATGACTGTAGCGACAGACAGAGAAGAATGGAAAAGGATTGGGGAGGCCTATGTCCAAAGATGGACCGAAGAAGGCTAATTAGATAGATAGAAGTATTATGGAGGCTGTACATACATCTATTTGCTACCTGAGTTCTTCCTTTAATCTCTTCCGCGATAGGTTTGATGGATATATTGTAACATTTTGCTCTATTATATCTTGTCTCTTTTGTCTGTTGATACACATGTATTTGGTTTTCTCTTCATTTACCCTTAAACCAGTTTTTTTTCTTCCTTTAATTTATTAAAAGTCTCCTTCACTTTAGTAATTGTGTTTCCCATAATGTCAATGTCATCTGCGTATGTTAGTAGTAATTTTGGTTCATTTACTCTCAGTAATTCTGTTCTAAGTTCTTCGGCTCTTACTACTTTCTCCAGAATGATATTAAAAAGTAGAGGTGACAGCGCATCTACTTGTTTCAAGACACTGCTTATTTAGAAAAATTCTAAGAGTTTGTTACCTATCGGTACTCTAGATCCACAGCTATTCGCACATAACTTAACAAGTTGGATAAGTTTTTTTGGAACTGAAAGTTCTGCCATTCCACATCTGATCCCTTTTAGTGCTGTCGTTCGTTTGCCGGAAATCTATCAAGAGATTATGGATAGTTATATTGAATTTTCATTATTTTTCAAGCAGCTGTCTTAGAGTAAAGATCTGATCTATGGTCGATCTACGTTTTTTAAAGCCGGCTTGGTATTCTCTCATGAAATTTTCTTCAAACGGTGTCAGCCTACTTAAAAGGATGTTCGATAAGATTTTATTCCGTATTAAGTAGGGAGATGCCTTTATAATTAGAGCACTTGGTTTTGTCTACCTTTTTATGGATGGGGATTATTACACTTTCGTGTCATTTTGTTGGAACCTTATTATTATTAGTTTACTAATTACATGGTATTACAATAAAAAAAACTTACTAGAAGAAATAAACTCTCAACAATCTGAATTATGCACATGTCTTAGTTTGGCCTAGTATATAGTTGGTAGTGCTTGATATATAAAAAGATATGAGTAACATTTTTCTATTTATTTATGTAGATATGTAACCGGGTGTTAATTTCGTCATCTTTCTACCCCCTTTCTTCAAAGATAAAAGAAAAATATTGATAATGATGGCAAACAAAAGTGAAAAGATGCAATTATTATTAACTATGATGTTGAATCTAAATATATTAGATATATGGCCGTAAGAATTAATTTATTCTTTTTATATAAATCTTGCTAGGAAGAAAAACCAAATTAAATTTTGTGGAGTTGTTTAATGTACTTTCTTACAGAACAGAAAATTTTAATGAGAAAACTCCTGGTTTATTCTAAAAATAAACACAAATCCCTCGGCTTCTCTAGTTACCTATTAGAATGTAAACAGACGCACCTACAGTATCAGATTATCATTTTAAATATGTCTTAAAGTATAAACAGTTTCAAGTTCTGCAACTCACTATACTAAAAAGGGTAATTAAACTAATTTAAACATTTGAAATTCGAATTTTGTTATAAATTTATATAAATATTTTAACATTTGGACGGTGTTACGCAAAAAGCTACCAACCCTCAATAATGACAAACTAAGATAATTAAGTTTAAAGTTTTTTTTTATTTAAAAAATCTGTAGGATATGTTGCTACTGCTTTGTTACTTTTTTTACTATGGATAGTTATTTTGGTATTTTCTACATGTCTAATATTTTAATTGTAAATTATAAAGGGAAAGGGTAAATTTTTGTAGATTGGTAGGTTTTTGCATTTTACAAAGTGGAAAATTAATACCAACAATATTAAATAAAAACAAAAGTAAAGTTAGAATACTTATTTATATTTGATATAAGGTTGAATGCTCGAATAAATGAACTTTGAAAATTAAGGCAATTATATCGAGCACAAGTTAATAATCTTGCCAAGTACTTCGCTAATATAGCATCTTCAGGGGCATCTGAAATAAGCCAAAAAACGGATTTCTATAGTAGTTTTAGTTAGACCTTTGGTCAATGTCACTTTACTTACACAGAATTTTAATATGCGCAGATCACATATCCATGACAGTGACTGCCCATCAAAGCTGTCATATGTCACATGTCACCTTAGCATTTCCGTTAAATACCATTCTCTCTCCTGATACCGCCAAAGAATGTAGAGCGTAGAAATATTTTAACTAATTTTAAACTGTTTGTCCTTATTTTTAGTGTAGTGTTTGTACAATTTTATGTTATAATTCATATTCATGACATTCTACGCTTGCCGGATAGCCCATATTTGACGAAGTAAGTCTAAAACGTTAATCACAAAAAACTTTTATTATCCATTAGCTTCGAGTTTTTATTGAAGTTAATTAAGTTCCTTTATCTAAAAACCATTTTTTGGCTTATTTCAGGTGCCCCT